ATATATATATATATATACATATTAGCTAGCTAATGTTAACAAAATGGTAGCTAACTCGCTAGCTTATCTACATCACTTTTTACATAGCTAGTTATGTTTGAGGGCTAATGTTAGCTAGCTAGCTAATCAGTCATTAGTTAGCTAGGTAGCATATCTAAGAACAGAAAAGGAGATATTTGACTGAGGTTCTGACTGATTTTTTATTAACTTTTACTGGGGCACAGAGCAAAAAGGGGCGGGGCATTTTTATCACGTTTGAACTGCAAAGGGACAAAATTAAAACCACACATTTAGAATTTTAAATGCTATCACCTTTAATTTGCCTACTTTACTTTATATTGCTTTTCAAACCAGTTGTGTGTCTCTTGCCATAGAGCTGATGAAGCTCAAAAAGATTCATAATACAAAGAAGAAGGCTGGAGGCAACAAGACGGAAAAGAAGACAGAGAGTGTTCTGTCAGCACTGTCTCCCGGCCTGTGTTTTGACTTCCATCCAAGAGTAAGTTGGTTAATGGACTGGTTTCAGCTGAGCTGTGAAACAGCAACTAATTCGTGCTGAACAATTTTAGTAAAACTTTATATTTTTAAGATTTTGACGTTGACTTCATTTCACTTCACTTCTTTCCTGCGTTTCATTGTTCTTCCAGGATTCCGGTATCTACTTGGTTGGCACATGGGAAGGTCTCATCCATAAGTGCTCCAGCTCCAACAGTCAGCAGTTTCTGGATACTTACAGGAAGCACTTTGTAAGTTCTTTAGAATAAAAGCTCCTTCTGATTAGACTGATTTAAAACAAAGTAAAACAAAAAAGACCACAAGACCTTTGCTTATTTTTCCACACTAACCTCAGAGGCTTATATTTGTGTCAGCTTGTTCAATACATTAATGTTTTGTCCCACAATGCATTCCTTCTTCAGCCATGGCTGTTTTCTGTAAAAATGCAGTTACATTATACATTTTAGTTTACTGGTACCCTGTGGAGTATTTGAATAGTAGCACTATGCAGCAATTTTTTGATGAACGGCATTAACTGGCACATGCACAATGAAGTACATGCACACCATGAGCACAATGGGGACACAAAACACATTTCTTATGTTAGACTGATATATCATGATTTAGAACATTCTGTTAAGCAAATGAAAAAAAAACTTAACAAAATGGCTTTGCAAAGGATATTGCTGCCACACCAGAGAAAGAAAAATGGATCAGTATCATGTAGCAAGTTAATAGTTTATTGTTATAACTTGATAAATTTGTATGTTGTAATACTGTAAAAATATCTTATTATAACGTGGTACTGATCTATTAAGCCTTTAGGGTACTTGTAACGTAATTTGCCGAAACAAAACCTTATTAATCTTAATAATTGAATAACTAATCCCTAGTGTAGACGTTATTACTGCTGTGGTTCAAGTTCAAGTTATTCTAGAAATAGTTAAACCAATCACTATTAAGATGAATTCTCTTCTCATCTCATCTTTTTCTATCTCGGACCACCACCAATCCTTTCTCTGGATTAGAGTTTCCAGCTTGATAATAAAATCTGTAATCACTTGGGTGTGTGTTCTGCCACAGGGTTAAGTAATCAGAGAGATCTTCGGTAACCTTCACGTCTCTCCCCGCAGTGTCCTGTGAACTGCATCATATGGTGTCCACTCATTCCTGATGTGTTCCTGAGCTGCTCCTCTGACTGGACCATCCAGTTGTGGAAGCAGGACCACCTCAACCCTGTGTTAGGTTTCAGCTCTACGCAGAAAGCCGTGTGCGACATCAAGTGGTCCCCGAAGTGGGCCACAGTATTTGGAGCTGTCAATGAGGGACAGCTGGAAATTTGGGACCTGAATTCCAGCATGTGAGTCAGACTGAGGGTAGGATGATCTGTCTATGATTGCTCTGTCTCTCTGTCTGAGCCAAGAGTAATCCTGCTTGTCTTCTCTCCTACAGCTTGGACCCAGTCATTGTGCAGCCTGCTGCCCCTGGTGTGAAGATGACGTCCCTGCTGTTTGCCACACAGACAGACTGTGTCCTGGTAGGAGACAGTGACGGTCAAGTGACTGTCTACCAGCTCAAGAACCTCAGTGTGGGAAAGAACAGCCAGGTAAAACTCAGTGACCTTAATGCACAGCCAGCTGCTGGTAGAGACAGCTTAGGCAAATGCTGTAAATGCTGTGGGTGCTAGGCAACTGTAGGCATGCATTACGACAAAAAATAAATAAATAAATAATGTAAATGCATAAGAAGAACTTAGTGACCATCATCCTGTATGATTGGTTGTTGCTTGTGCAACTCTCAACCGATGTGAAAAAAGCGAGATGTCTCATTCTTTATCTACTTCCATCATCAGCTTCAGAAAATACTTTGCATTTAATTCAAAATATTATTAGTTAAAGGTCCATTTAGGAGAATCTATTGTCAGAAATGGAATATAATATCCATAGCTGTGTTTTCATTAGTGAATAATCACCTGAATATAAGAATTGTTACGTTTTTGTAACCTTAGAAATAGCTGTTTTTATCTACAGACGATACTTCTATGGAATCCATGTTGAACTGCCGTGTTTCTACAGTAGCCCAGAATGGACAAACCAAACTCTGGCTCTAGATAGGGCCTCTTTGCTCACATATTGCAGCCACCATAGTTTTACCTATACAATTGGAAGGGGAATGTGACGTGAGGGACTTGCAACCACTAGATGGCACTTATTTCCGCACACTGGTCCTTTTGACTAATTTTCATTATCTCTCTGGTTGCATTCTGATTAGGTATATGATATGAGTATACATGGTTACTTATATTATGTACATCACATCTATAAACATATGTGTGTATCTATACATGGACTGTACACTACAGTTACAAACACAGTTTTCAGATAACTTAGCTAATGTTTGCGAAAGTGGTGCTAAAGTTCTGAAGTTATTAACGTTACATTAGCTAATCATAACACAACCTTTTTTCTGAGCTGATGATGGAAGTTGCTAAGTAGCTAAAGGCCCTATTATTTTCTATCTATAACCCCCACACTAGCTCCAACTAACTGCCCCGCATTGCTTCATGCCACTGTCCTATTTACAGCATTGCTGCGCCCTAAAATGATAAATTATAATGCAAAAAATGACGTGACGAGTGATAGCTCTTTAGGTGAGTTTAAATAGTAGTGTCCACAGATGATTTTAAGCTAATGTCCTTTAGTAGAGTACAATCAGTTTTAGTCAAAACAGTTCTGCTTGACGCTCGTCATATGATGTGTGTTTTAGCCTTGAGCCAATGCATTTCCTTCTCACCTCTGTTGAGAGTTGGACATGCACTGTACTGATGAAGCAGGAGGTATTGCAGTGAGAACACACACACACACTTTCCAACTTACAGTCAGTCATAGTGTGTTACAGAATCTGTAAATGCAAAATCCTGAGCAAATCAGGCAGGCCGAGCACATCTGGTAACTACACCGGACTCAGATGAGCCCCATATGTTATCAACTGATCATGGTTACTTGCATGTCCAGAGGATCAGACCACGTTTCAAACACAAAGAGCATGATTGCACTCAGATCTCCCCACAATCCCAACAAGCAGTTGCACAGCCTGTCAATTTATGCATGGAGCACACTGCTTAGTCAGTCCTTAGTCAGTTTCTTACACAGTTTTTTAATATAATTGTTTTCTATAATAAGTTCCAAACACTCTAAAGTGTATATTCAACATCATCTTTTCTGAAAGCAGATTTGGGGCAATCGATATTAAATAAATTCAGGTTACTATAAGGGAAAAACACTGCTGTCAGTGTTGATGTTCATTCTCTGAGAGGCATCTGATGCAGTTTGAAGGCTCCTTGCCTCAGTCAGCCAGTGACACGGATACATGATAGTCAGCTCACATGACAAACAACGTGTCTCTGGATCTTTTCTTTCAGGTGGATATTATGGAAGACATCATCCGCTCTGCAGCTTCCAGATAGCTTTCAGAAACACACAGATGGCCATTTGGGTTTCATTAGTGTATTTTTATTCAATTACACTTTATTCAACTTTATTGTTCTTCCAAAAAAGAACTACCGCTAATATAATTCTTAGAAACACACCATTATGTAATTTGTATTATACAATATGTGTATTTGTATCAGTTTTGGAAAATGTATATTGAATTAAAATATGTGAACCAAAAGGGTTACTGTGCAGGACAGAGACTGGAAACTGTTTCACACACTGCTGCCTTCACCCAGCCATATAACCAGCCTGATGTATTAAAGGTCCAGTGTGTAA